TCGTTCCCTCTCTCTCTCTCTCTCTCTCTCTCTCTCTCTCTCTCTCTCTCTCTCTCTCTCGTTTCTCTACCTACATTCTCCAAGCAGATCGTTACTAGGATAGAAACACGAGTTTTTGCCAGTAAAGCCGAGGTGGAATGCGCGGCGCGGCAGCGTCAATGGATCCATAAAGTCCGCTCGCGCTCAGCTTCAGTTCGAATCTAGTTACGACTTGCGCGCGTTGCAAGATGAAAAAGGAGACCGTCGGAAGGAAAGATATTGACAGAAGAAAGTCCGCGCGGAAAACCGTGGCGAATTTTCGCTGCAGGCGACCGTCCTGTATCTTTATTCTTACGTGGAGATACTAACGTATGCCATCTGGAGAGAAATCTCTCCAGGAAAAATATTCCCGCCCGAAGAAAAATGTTCCACAAATTTCACGCTCAGCTCTATAAAAGGTTCGCCTTATCTTTTAATTAATGGCGCAAACTCCCATAATATTTCTCCCCTTAAAACTAGCCAACGATGGCAACGTTGCATCAATCGTAATCTAAGATCTAAAAGTATCCGCGAGAGAGTACCGGTCGGAAGATGTGTAAGGGTAACGTAGTCTTGTTTTTTCTCGTTGCAGCAATGCCAGTCGTTGAAGAAGGAAAACCGGAGGTTGCAGAGCGCCTTCCTGCAAAACGTCTTTCTTCAAGCGCGAGTCGACACGCTCCAATGGCAGGTCAAACAGGTTCGTAATCGCGCGATAGCTGAAGATCTGCAGAAAAGAGAAGAAGCGACCGATAACGTGGCCAACCGGTTTACCTCGCTCCGGTTACTCGATATCGCGTCACGTAACAACCGGTCGGCACATACGATCGGCCACTTCCCCCCCCCCCTAATGACCCACGCGATTTTCGTCGCATCCGATTTTTTTCCTATTCGTCCATTAGCTCATTTTATGAATGAATTTACGTACGATTTATCTTCCGATCGCTGTCATCGAACATTAAACGTGCTTTAATAGCACATCAAGTTGTAGAAGAATTACAACGTTAATAGCTCCTTAATTGAGATAGTTATTAATTTTTATATTAAAAAAAGTTGTACTTTTTTTCCTGTGATATCTTGAGATGAGATACTTGTATTTTACATTTTCTCGCGCGCGCGCTTGAATTCTTTATAGAACGTGTCAGGAAGTTAATACTCTGTTTAATACTCTGTGAAAGAAAGCTAAAACCGAGATTGATTATATCACGTACGCGCGAGAGTCTGAAAATAAACTATTAATTTTATAAAATTTCACGTCAGTCCATGTTATACTGTCTGCCTATACTCCCTTTTCTTCTCATCTTTCTTCGAAGAAAAATGTTAGTTTACTCTTTTATCTATAATACTTGCAAATTATTTTTATTAACAGTATTCTTAGTAGTCTCGCATGTATTTTTTCATGTATCTCAGGATAATAAATTTATGCAACGGTACGGCGGAGGAATCGAGAATTAGCATACGCTTGATTTGTTCGCAGGTCGAATCGAACAGGCAAATGTACCGTTCGACGATGGAACAGGTCGCCCATTTCCTGGGCCGGGCTCACAGGAGCCTGGAGATCCTACACGCCAAGGAGAATCCCAAGGACAAGAGACGTGTGCCGCGTAGCCGCAGCGTGCACACGGTGGTGCACACGACGGATCCGTCGCCGAGTCGCGGCGCCGCGATGCAGTCGCCCTCGTCGTTGTCGTCGTTGACCGTCTCGCCGTTCACCCGTGCCAAATCGGTCACGCAGATCGGATCGCCGAACGCTACCTGCTTCCGCGAGTTCACCTGGTCGGTTCTGCGAAGGAACGACCCGGTGCACTGCACGTCGCCGCGTGTCAAGCCGCCGCTGGATCTCAATAAAACGATCAACGACGTTCCCGATAACGTCGTCTATCGCGAACCCAAGCAGACGGAGCTGAACCCGGACGAGATACCGCCGGAGAAGCTGTCTCAGGAGGCGTTTAGGTGCGTACGAGAGATTTCACAAAAACCGAATTATTAATCTATTTACTGTTGGTATTAATTATTTTTGTCTTAATTAATTTAAGATAATGATTATTATCTTTATTATTGCCAACATCATTAAAAAAAAAACTCTGTTAAATTTGAAAACTATTTCCGCAGGTTACTGAGGACTGTCGAGTCCCTGTTGACGATGCGAGAACCCGATTTGGCGAGAATGACGCCGGTCGAGGAAAACGGATCCTCTCCTTCTCCTACGGTGGACCATCATCGTCATCACGACACGTCTTTCTCCCTGTCGAGCAGCAACTTCGTCAACTCGACAACCCTGCCAGAGGCCACTGCCTCTTCCGGATGTTCCAGCAGCAGTCGCGGAAACGAGTCGAGCAGCGGTCACCAGGGCGACAGTAGATCGCCGAGCCTCGTCAAAACGTCCGTCACCGAGTTCGCCCGAAATCTGCAGAGCTTCATGCCGAGCGTGAGAAGATCGCCCGACACTGCCTCCTGTAATTCGAGTAGCAGTAAGACGACGGAGGAGGAGGACATCGTCGCGCTCACCGCGTCGTCGAACGGAGTGACATCCAACGGCACGCCGATCTCGACGCTCAGCAGGGCCGCGAAGCGGCTGGAGAAGAAGGAGTCCGCGGGACTGGCCGGTAAATCTAAAGTGAAGCCGGCCAGCAGTCCGGTGAGCAGCGCTGAGGGTGAAAGTGGATTCTTCTCGATCAGCTCCTTCCAGGAGGTGGGCCTGCCCGCCTCGGCGGCCCTGTCGAGCACGCCGATCAAGGGCTGCCACACCGAGGTGGGCCTGCCGGAAGTGCCCCTGGACAAGACCAGGCACCGACGGTGGTCCTCCACGCCTGCGGAGTTCCAGGCGCTCTTCAAGCAGCACCGCGCCAGCTTCGGCGGCACGCCGCAAACCGCCACCGAGTCCGTCAGCGTCTGCTGGGTATGAGGGTGTCGCGCGGTTGCCCCGCGCGCCGATTATGATCCCACCGCAAGCGATCATCGTCATGGTTTCAGCCGGATCTCGCAGACTAGACTAGCTCGTACCGCGCGAGCGCGATTTTTCAGGAATGACACTTAGATAAATCGATAGGGAATATCGCAGTAATTGTAAATAATAACTTCTTTACGCAGTCGCTTCTTTTGTTACATTGACAAAGTATGAGTAGAGTAGTACTGACGAAAGCGAACGATGGATTCAATTGCGTTCGATAAGATTGAGTGTGACGTGAAAAACGTTATTTCGTCGCTACACGGTGCGATGCATGCAGTTTATTAAACTTTCTTACGAGAAAATTTTCTATCGGAATGCGTTAACGAGAGTAAGAAAGCGCATAAAGAAAATAAGGAAATAAGGAATTGATATACCATGCGTAACTGGGCGAGTTTCGTTGATGCGGCCATTTCTGTAAGTATAGAAAAGAAGAATAGTGTAATCCCGACGTTTTTGTAATCAGCCATATCTCTTGTAGTTTCATCACTGATATGAATTCCGTACATATCAATATCTACCATGAAACATCTACCCTGTCCCTGCACGCGCGATTATCAATGGCTTCGTTCGCATGACAATAACTTCATTCGTCAGAAATTCACGGGCAAGTTTGAGAAGCCTTAAATACGTTTTGTTTTTTTACAATCGTTTCTATTTTCCGTCATTGATTATTTAATAAATTAATTATTTTTGGATTCGAGTTAAACTGATTCAATTCAAACGTAACTAAAGCGAGTTTAATTTGTATACTAATATATCGCAATGTAGATCAAAGTTAGCGTATATAATTCGATTTAGTAGATGCATAACAATTCAGATTCGAAAGTATGCAAAAAAGAGATTTTTCATCTCAATCGATGAATCGGAATCTGCTGCAAATACTTTTGCGAAAACTACATTCTGTTACGATATTTCTGTTATTATTTTCGTGCATGTTAATAGCGACGCAAAATATTTTCAACCTAAACTCCACCTGTTTGTATCTAATTGGAACTGATAACCCGCACGACAATTATCTCATTCAATGCTGTTACATCGTTCATAATGTGACTCTTAATTTTTAAGATTTTTTGACATTGATGGACGAAAGTATTATTCTCACAACAGTTCATTGTACGAATGTATACTCTAATTCGCGAGGACAACATATCTTTTAATGTAATGAAACGGCGTGATCTAAGACTATCATAGTTCTAGATTTTACGATATTGCGTTCTCTACATATTCCTCATTGTGCGTAATTTGTCATTTTCATTCGTAATTATATAATACAACGCTGAATATCATGCCAAAACATCTTATTTCATCTCCTACTCTTGCGCTTTCCCACACAATCTACATTTATTATTATACTTTGATACAGCTATGTATCATGTGAAAAGTATACATTTAAAATTTCTGCATGTGTAGAATGATCCTTACAAAAGTTGCAAAATTTATTTAAAAAAGTAAAATATATCTAAAAATATATGAAACTAGGAATAATTACAGAATCCAGTTTTTGCGTTTCCTGTATAAATTTAATTAAAAAATATTTTCTAGAATCTATTCTATAAATATAAAAATTATAATTTTCTATTTTAAAGTATGTAAAATCTCTCAAATTTCTCAAAATTATTTTTTTAAATTATATATATATATATATATATGTATATATATATATATATATATATATATATATATATGTATTTGTAATATAAAAACAAGCGTTATAGCTTGCGCTATTTGATAAAATTTAATTAATAACAGTTTTCGTTTTTCATAAATAACAGTTTTCGTTTTCCGTCTAAGAGATTATCTTTTAGATTATCTATTTTTTTTCTTTCTATAATTATATTTATTATACGCACTATCGCTCACAAAAATGCATGCATATGTATGTATTTGCGTCTGTGTATGATGTGTAAATGTATGTGAATGTTCACAATGTGCTGAATTCGAGTCCGTGGATTCGCTAACTAATGACAGTGAGGGTCAGTGATCTTGCGGATTATTGTTATATCATGCGATTTTTTGGCACGAGAACATTTCGAATTTCGTACAAAAAGCGTAGTATTTTCTTTTATGTAGCTTCACGCAATAAAGAAGACGCTATAGCCATCTGGTAGGAGGACAGAAAGTTGCTGCCAGCAACCAGATATGCATGGATGTATCAGACAGCATTTATCATTCGATAGGAACTCCAATTATCTTATCTACAAATCCATAGATTTAACGAGTCAATATGTTAGCATCTTTCATTTATGTGTGGCGATAACTTTTACACTGAAATAGGTCACACTTAGAGAAAGTTTTTCTTTCAAACAGCCGAGATTCCACGGATCGATAGTCTAGATATACATGGTCAGTATAACGTGGTTAAAAAAAGAATTAAATTTTTAATTCAAATCGAAGTGATAATTCGAATCATTCACTAGATCGGCTTAACATTTAGAGTTTCCCTTAACACGTTATATTATTAATATAACATCAATTTAAGTTGAAAGGAGATTATCAAACATTCGCCAAACGGGTGATAGTGGCATTGAAAATACGAAATTATTTTGTCAAAGCTCTACTTGATCGTTTTATAATTTCTCATGACCTAATATATGATGTTTAAAGAACACAACCCCAGATATCGGATATATTATTGAATTATCTCTTATTAGAGTAGAATGATTTAATCCAAAAAACGTAAGAATATTCATTCATAATGTATTTATCATGGGCTTGACAATATGTTGAACTATTGGAGCCAAAACATCCTCTCGAGTTTTGTGTGCTGTTTTGGAATTGTTTTCGATCGAAATCTGGACCGGATGACCTTACACCCGTACACTCGTGGAGACCCGGTCTCTTTATCGGAGCTCATCGTAAAGTCAGCTCCAATAGTGATAATATCTGCGTCTTCCACGCGTACAAGCTTCCCCGCTTCCGATGTGTCACGGCGCGCTACCATCCGTTTTACGAAACCTTCTCGCTTCGGCGACCCGATAACACCGTCTAATCGTTTGCAATATAGACGCCGGATTATTTTACAAATTATTGCGCGAAGCGCGACCCGTCGCGAGAGCGCGCGATCGAACGCAACCCGGCGCCGATCGACGTCGGTCGTTCTGGCGCGATGCGGCGCCACGATGCGGAGTCCGCGCTAATGCAGGGGTCGCGGCCGAGAGAGAGAGAGAGAGAGAACGGGTGCGCGATTGCGCGCGCATGCAATGATAACGCTGAAGCAGGCAAGGCACGAGGAGTACTCGGGTGCTCGTTATCAGTGCGGCAGGCGTCGGCAGGCTTGAAACGGCACTCGGTCCACCAGTCGGCCAGGAGATCGCGCCACGAGGCGAGCCACTTTTAGATTGATTTTCAAGAGCACCGCCAGCACGGGGCCAGCGCTCCGCGTTTATTTTAACGCGCCCAGAGACACATAGAGCGAGAGAGAAAGAGAGAGAGAGGGGGAGAGAGAGAGAGAAGCGGTTATAGGGAACGGGCTCCGCGCGCGCTCGGCCGTACAGGCGTTTCAGGCTGATTGGGATAGTGCGAGGGAGCGACGACGTGACGACGACGTGGTGAGAGGTTCGGCAAGTCGCGAACGGGCGAAGAGCGCCTCTCTTCCGCGGCCGACGCAAGACCGGTCACCAAGACGGTACCGTCGTATTTTTCGATCGTGCCCCGTCCCGTTCGCGAAGCGCGCACTATACCGCGCGTTAACATACACGTTAACCGAAAGCACGCCGACGACAACTCTGCTCCGGCTGCGGGCGCGTGGTGGCCGTGTCGCGAGGAAACACCGAGGAGACACCGCGCGCGGTGACATATAATCCCTCCCGGAGTCCTCCACGTTTCTTCCTCTCTCTCTCTCTCTGGTCGTCGCACACGGTAACGTCGCCGTCGGTACGTTCTTTCGTGCGTCCCGTCCGCCTGGGCTTTCCGCTCCGCTCCGCGTCGTGCCGCGCCGCGCCGCACCGCGCCGATCCGCCCCGCGGTCCGCTCCGTCCCGTGCCTTCTCCTCTAATCTATCTGTACTACTCGTGCGCGGTGTGTGCCATCGAGTGTGTCTCCGCGTGTGCGCTGCGGCTGCGGTAGGCCCGAGGTGTACGCTTGTAGGCTTCGTGGCGCAGTGCGTGAAATGAGTGACAAGGACCGCTCCTCTCCCACCCTCGTCGAAAACAGTCTCAAGTCGCTGCTCGACCAGCCCAGCATATTCCCGCTGATCGGTAAGTGCACGTTCGCCGGGTTCGCCCCGCATTAATTAAGCCTTGTAGCGGAGTGTCTAACGAAACCGCTTGCGCGTTTTTACACGCGCGATCGTACGACGCTGGCACGCGAAACGCGCGGCTTCCACGGCCATGCCGAGGCCTCCGCGAGCGCGGTTCTCCGTTCTCCGCGCTCGCGGCGGGCCGCGGTGCTCGGGCGCCGCTCCTCTCCTCGCTCTTTTCCTCTGTCCTCGGATCGGAGTTTTCACGACGTTCGTCACTCGGCGGATCTATGTGGTCTTTTCATTCGCGGTACCTACACGCGAACCCCGAGGAAGCGCACGTGACATCGCGTTTCCCCGAAAGATTCTCGCTCGAATAGTATTTTTTTCCTCCTTCGCTCGTGGTCGTTCGCCGGTTGCGCAGCGCGTGATCTTTGCGTGGCCCGTGCTCGCATCCGGTATACTCTCACGTCGACCGCGCGTGTTTTCGAAAAATAATATAATAATAATGAAAGAAAAAAAGGGGGAAAAATAATTCCTGCTTCAAAATTCGCGCAAACACGCGGCTACCACAGCGCTACCACTGGCGGCGATCACGCGAGCGCACTGTGCGCAGCACACAGTGTCCGTCGAGGATTCGAACATTTCGAAATGCGATCGCATTTTGAATTTCGTGCTTCGACAGCGCGCCCCGGCATTATCTCTGCGCGCAGCGCGCTATAAGAAACTCACGCTTTTTCCTATTATCGGACCGCGCGACTGCCAAGGAGGGCCAAAGTGCAAAGGGCGAGAACGCGAAACGGGCGGAGAGAGGGAGAAGGAGAGTAAAAGAGGGAGAGAGTGGGACAGACGGAGGGACGGAGAAAGAGCGGAGTCATGGAGGACAACGAGCGTGTGTTCGTGCGATCGTCGTCATTGCGCCGACGCTGTTGGTCTGCCGATTAACCTCGTTTAAGACCCCGTGGCGCACCACGTGATGCAGTCAGCCTTACCTCGCCCCGGAGCAGACCCAACCTACACGCTCGATTCCGCTTCGCTCGGCGGAGCGAGCGTGAAGCGACTAATCTTACACGACGGTGCGGTGTGGCCGAGAAGGCCGAGAAGCGTCGGGAAGCCGTACGACAGCGGTTCTAGCCCTGTTTCCATAAGAATAGACGCGAAAGAAATCGAGATAACTGAATTAAAAGTGATCGATGGAAATTTATGCTGAGAGGTTACAAACGCCTCATCTTCCAAATTAGAGATTGGCCGAAAATGTTTTGGATTCTTTCCTTTCGTTTTTCATTTTTCAAAAAGAAAAAGTCAATTTCTTGAATTAAAACAAAGATATCTTACAATAAATTCTTTTTTTCTGTTAAACATTTTTCTATTATGATATTATTTTGTCGTAAAAGTAATTAAAAATTATATCTTCAATTGCTTGAAAAACACAAGTGATGCTAGGTATAGGAAACTCAATTAGGAAAACAGAAAAATATCTTTAATTTTTAATATCTAGGAAATGAGAAACTCGATTATATTTCTGTTGATTTGTTTTTTTAAATCTCATTTTCTTCGGACTGAATTTAGCTAATTTTCTAATCTTCATTTGCAATTCTAAAGAAAGGCAAAAGTTAAAATACTTCAAAATTATCTAATGATATGGAATCAACTAAACCCGTTATTTCAATCACGATTACCACTGCACTTTTTATTTCTTTTCTTATTCAATAATTGCTGTAATAAATTTTCCCTCTCTGCCTCTTTTATGTAGAAAAAAAATCATGAAAAATTATATGCTAGTCGAGACTCAAAAGTCTCTCTTTATGAAAAATATATGTATTATAAAATATATAAATTTTTTTTTGTTAAAAATCTGACAGGAGAGAAATTCATTTTGTGAAGACCGCAAAGCAACGTTATAAAGTCAATTGCTCTTAATCCATCTATTTTTTCCGGCTAATTACGGATCGCGTTTTCCAGGAAACGGTGCACGAATCGCGTTTGATGTAAGTTGCAATCGGATGATGTAATTTTTGCAATGCGCAACTCGTGTATCGTTACGAACGACGCTATAGTTCCATAGCCGAATGGGAAGTAACTCGTTATGTTGGCTCAGGAAACTGTCCCCAATTTACTACCTCACTGAATCGGATTATTAGTGCAATGCAGATTAAATAATTAGTAACGAAAACGTAGATGCGTGCGCGCGAGGGAGATAACGTCATACGCTTGAATTGTGTTTGTGTTCCGACTCCGCGCCCGACGATATATTGCACCTTTTCACCGGTTAGATAACAAATCGCTTTCTCGATTACGCAAAATGCGATTACTCTGGAGTGGGCTCGAATCTCGCGTATCGCAGATAAAAAACGAACGAAAAAAATCATGCCGAATAATTCTGATTACTGTTCTTTTTTTTTTTTTTTTAAAGCGGTGCTCGTTCTCGTTATACAGTCGGATCGATGATTGATCAATTTGATCTTTTACTCACTTTTATCCGTTCGCGATTACCATAGCTATTCTTCGCGATACGCGAGACTTTCGGCGCAGAAATAAACTGCCGCTAGAATAATTCGGCCTCGAATTCAATTGGCGCTCTGTTCGCCGCTATGCCGCGCGCGAACATTCAAGTTTGGGGGGGAAAATGCGTCCCCGTCGTCGCGATATCTTCTCGCGATAAAAGATACCTACTATGTGTGGCTGCAAACACGCATGATATATCACGACAGGCAAAGCGACGCTTCGCGTTACTTTTTGATACTGCAACGTCGTAAGAATAAATCCTTTCATCCACGCACGCACGATTGTAGCCACAACGGCGGCGCGATTCTATTTATTTTTCGGTATTACGACATCGCGCCGTTAAGCTCTTACCAGCGACTTGTATTGTGACAGCGACTGTCGCGGGCATGTCATATGAAAATGCAATGATTTTTTTTTTAGCATCTTCAGCACATCGCGCTATTGCTTCTTTTTTACGTCGTACGAGAGAGTGTCATTCTAGGTCACCATGCCATTTTTTTGTTCTCACTACACACGCATATGTACAGGCTATGAATATAATAATAATAAAACAATCGATCGTACATGTGTATAAATCACGAAGATACGGTAAACAAAATTGGTAATTATGCAAATTAGTATCCCAGATTATACATCATCATACGCGGAAAGTTGAGCTTGTAAACGCAGCCTATAGAGTCAGGAAAATTCATTCATTCGAATCGATACGTATATTCAGTTGGGATTTAGAGAAGCCCGATGCTCTCGTAATTTAAGATCTTTTAAGATTAAGCTACTAGTCTACTGGGCGATATTACATTATGCGGAGACGTGCACAAGACGCGCCGGGACCTCCCGAAGGGACGGAGAGGCAAACTGCACCTCGTATTTATGCCGATCAATATGAGGGATATAAACGAGAGTAATAGTAGAAGGGCAAAGAGCCAGGAGGGCTCCCCAGACTTTTCAATTCGGCCAATTACGCCGTATAATGGCATACCTCCGTTTCTCTATCTTTCGATTGTTCCCACAGGTTCTACCGCGTGTCTTCACTCCTCGCCGTTTGCCTTTCCAACCGATAATTTTCCCTCCGGCTTTCCTTTCCATCTGCAAACTCCCTGCGGTAATGTAAACGTTTACTCGAACACATTCATCAATTAAGAATCACCGTAGACGTTAATTAAAATTAATTAGGGTCGCGAATCGATTGTCTATTTCAAGATCCTTTAAGCCTGTATTGTAGTAATTTTACTCTCTTTTTATTAATTACTAATTTATCTAATAAGAATAGTGCTACTAATAAGAATAGTATATTTTATTTTTTTTTTAATACACGCGCAATCATTTGCAGCGCGTAAGGATGAAAAGTTCGATCATTCTTTTCAACTGCTTTTTAGCTCGAATAAAAGATCGGCATATTGTTTGCTTCAACTCCGCTATACGCTTTGCGAGTGATCGATGTCACTTATGGTCACTGTCGCGGACGTCATCGTTAGTGACCCGGCGACTGTCGACGACGAGAAATGCAAGCCGGCAAGTGGACGCCGATAAGTCGCGTGCGAAGCGCCGTTTCATTTTTCATTCACTTTCCTACCCGATCGATATACTTATGTCGCCCCACCGCGCTCCGTTGCCTCGTTCTAAGACGGGACTGCAAGATTCACGCATATATTGTCAATAAAATGTACATAAAGCGAATGAATATAGCTTGCTATTATTGTATTGCTTATAGAGTCACTCTTAAGCTATTATTACACTTAATGAGTTACGCTAATGCTATTTATAATTTTCGTTTCGTGCCAAACGTGATAAAACCTGCGATTACAAAATAAAGCCTTTTCGATAAATACATGTCTACTGAGACGAAGATACAGCTTTCAATATTTTTTAAAGCGACTTTTTTTGTCTTAGATATCTTTTTCGAAAATATATTTAGCGTGCCTGTGATGTGGTCAGAAAAAACCATATCCAACATGTGCTGCCGCTGTATACATATGTAATAAAACGAGAATCTCATATTTCATTTTCGAGGCTATCAATCATTAGCAGTTGAAAAAAAGCTTTTGCGTCTAATTTCTCGTTCGCAAACTTTGCGTCACTTTCTGGTATCTCGAATATCCTGATCCCCCTCGATTTCGAGCCTCGGTTATTCATTAATCTGAATCTACATAAAAAAAAGGTCGTAAAATTGTTTGTTGTAAAATTATTTCTATTTTTAGTAAAGATCAGCTAACAGGTTTTTAATTCCATTAGGCAGAATTGCATAATTTGATCGGTATAACGTCGAGGTCGTGAGTCGTTATCGCAACGATAATAACGTTTAGGTGGGTCGCATAAATGTTTAGTAAAATACGGGACTGTTTTATGATATACTTTTGCGAAGGAAAAGCTATGATTTAAGACTCGAGATAATGATAACGAGTGCCAAAGACTTTGTATATTTTAAGTGTATCTTTCGCTTTCGGTAATTATCGACAGATGAACCGCATCGAAAGTTTAGCACCGGCATTACGGGCCCTCGTTCCTCTATCGCGGTTCGTGCCTCTTTCACAATATGTTGGTCGATTATTTTTGGCGTGCCAGGACCGTACACACGTCAATCCGTTTGATGGATAGGCTGGAAGACCAGAAAAGAGTTACCGGCAACTTGAATACGGCTCGGCACGCGGTCGAGCCATGCCTTTGCGTGCGACGCAGCTGAGGAAATAATCCGCGCGATCTAATATTTAATTTATATTTTGCGCCAACTGCGTTTCAATTAGTTTCCACCTCGATTCCCGATAGTTTGGAAACCTATTAATATTCCCGCATAAAATTTCTGATTATAGTTCCAGACTGATAGACAGATATTTTTTTAAGATAATCTACTAAAAGTATACGTTATCTGATAACGATTTTGGCGTATGAAACATATACCTGTTGTTCAGATATATCCCGCTTTGACGAAACTGACCGGCCGGCGGTGCGAGATCATTTTTCGGTTTTATTAATATGATAGAACAAAAAGTAATTGGCTCGCGACGCGTATATCTTCGCGATCCCTCTCTTGCGAGTAACGCATAATAGTTTTAATAGTGCCAACTTTATGGTGCACCAGATGCTGCCTGGTCGTTCCAAGTTGGCTCCAACATCTGCCATTCGCCGACAGTCGGTTTTCGATGCCGTTTAAATCGTTCGAACGCACGGAGATCAAGGTAAAGGTTAATTACTTCGTTTCCCGTCGACAGTTTCTAGGATCGCGTCTCGTAAAAATTTCTTGTTAAATTAAAAGAAGTAGACAGACATTCATTTTATCGGGAGATATGAATCTCTCAATTTCTCTCTCTTTGCGATTATAATTAGCTAAAAGAATTCTTGTTTACCTTTCCCTATTCTACGTATTTTGTTCTGACAAAATTTAATTTAATTTAATTTCTTTAATAAGTATTAAAACACATTGCGATGTAATGAGTTTTGTTTTATCATATACAGTAGATAAAACAATCGCTCGTTTATCGCTATCGCTGCTGTTTGTAGTGATTTCAAAATATTAAGAATTCAATTTTGCGGAATGATTTCCTGTCCATTCTTCTATAAATCCATCCAATTTTTTTGCCAAGAAGACAGCAATGGCGTTATGTAACAGTCAAACAATTATTCCCGAAGTTATTTCTTATATATGTTTCACTATTATTACCCGCAGGCCAATTGGAGAGATTATTTGTCGAGCCTCGTGCATCTCTAACTTCAAGGTCCCCCCCGCGATATCTGCGGGTCTCTCGAGAAGCGTTTAGCACCGCGCGATTTCGCTCGTTAGCACGTGTCGTTCGAGCCTCGAGTTGAGGTACTCACTCTGCGAAAAACTGTGTCTAATGGCGACAGAATATGTAGAAGAAAGGTTCCGACGTATCAATTGTAAGCTTAACATAGAATTTCCTAATTAACGGCAAACAACAAGCCCACCGCTATCCTGCTATCCGATTCTTCCGCGACTTACAAGTTAGCCGAGACTTATCTCCTTAGGAAGTTGCGCTGCACGCGGAACAATCAACTTATCAACGGAGAAACGTAAACGCGCTGTTCCAGTTTCAACGGGTATTAATTTTGATAACTCTCTCAGTGCTTCTACACAACAGGTAAACTTGCGCGCGTTAAAGATACGAAATTTTAGGTAAATGATAAGCGAGATTACAGCGAGATATTTGTCGAAATCAAATCGTATACTTTTGGTTGCAAGGATAAAACGTTAGTAGAAATCGATTAATATCTTCGTTATGATTTGGTGATCTAGCAGGTTGTTTTTTCTCCCAAAACGATCCTTCTCTACCTTCGTTTAGAGACTCGGGTTCGTCGAGGCCGATCGCTCGTGGCCTGGCGTGGCCTCCAAGCGCGGCGCGAGAGTACCGCTTTTCTGGCAACCCGCCAGAACTTATGCCAGGTTTCAACATACCGGCCGACATGAGTATTTTCGGTTTCGCGGCGAAAACGACGACGGCCTGTCTCTCTTTCCGTCTTTTCCCGCGTCTCTCCGCCGATACGCTTCTTTGAGGAAGAACGAAGGGACCGCTATTACATTGGCAAGCAGACGAATGGTGTTTTCGTCGCGGTGGAACAACTTCACCGGCGATCCGAATCCAGTTTAGCACAATCCCCCCGATGCTGCAATATAAGTACAGAAGTCTTGTTTACTATTCTTATCGCTCTATACAACATCGAAGTTCGAAATGGAATTATGTTGATTTTTCGGGCCCCTCCACCGTGTATACTCGGTCGTCGGACACTTGTCGAAGCACAAGTGTAAATGTTTAATTAGCGTTCGGCACGATGAGTATAGCGACACCGTGTGATTAGACTCGTGATAAACCGCTTTCATCGCGCTAGTATATGTCACTTAATTATCATTGTACACCGACACCATTCTCGGTCTTTGGTAGACCTATTTTCCGGGAGATTCGCTCCGAGCTATTTTCTTCACGTTCGCGTACACGCGGCTCGTAGAAAGAATAAACGAGCTCGAACATGCGACGATGATTTAATGTCGTTATAACGTTAAAAACAGTAGTAATAATTCTTTTGAAACACACTTATAGCTTTCCATCTATAGATGAGCCAATCTGAATGCAAAATCATTTATTAACGATCCCGTCGACGGAATAATAAAAATTATTCTCTGTATGGTATTAATCATCGTCATCTGTGTTAGCTCGTCGGTCAATGATATATGAAGAAAAAGTTAGACAAATCGTATACGAGTCGTACGAATATATACGTATTGGAACGCAAAGCCTTAGTATCGAAATATCGGAGGCTTCCGCGTTGGAAGTCGATGTAAGTATAGCGGTCTGTCTAGAGATAAAGATTGCCTTATCAAATTAATTTTGCATAATTGCATGCGGTGTCTGACACTGCACTCCAAATCCAAGTGTGTAAATCTGTAGTAACATTTTACGCATTTATATTTTTACACATTTTATCTGTGTTTTACACAGTTAAATGCATATTTTTACACGGTTAATTTTACAATAATATGTGTAAGCGTGTAAAAAATATGCATTTAACTGTGTAATACACAGGTAAAATGTGTAAAGATATAACACGCGTATAAATGCGTAAAATGTGACTACAGATTTACACACTTGGATTTGGAGTGTACGTATAAACACTATAAACAAAATGTAGAGAATTGTCTATCGGTCGCTCTTCGTCGTTCGCAAACGAAGGTTCCTTACTGAACGACGTCATAGGACTGAATTCGAAATTATTCGCCGAAATTATAGGAAGACAATCGCCTACGGAATAATTTTATTGAATTTAAATCGGTTGTCTGTATTCGAAAATTGCTATCCGAAAAAGCAGACCGATTTGCGGGTCGTCGAGAAAGAGCGCGTACGTTCCTTTGAACGAAATATGTACGTATAATGAATCGATATGATAATAATGTTCAATAATCCCCAAAATAATCCTCACGTGAGTCGCGGTGAATGACGGTTCAGGTGAAATTCCGTGAATGCACAAGCGCATAAATAGGTACGTAGGCTCAATATTCAACTCGGTAGAATATACTAGAGGGATGACGTCATAGGATTGCATACGAAATTATTCCGAAATTATGGGAGAAGACAATCGCCCCTGCGGGAATAATCTTGCCCGTATCTAAATTCGGCGATCTATAATCCGAAAATTGTTATACGAGAAAGCGGAGATTGATTTGGAGGTCGTCGAAAGAACCTGTCCCTAAAATATCGTCAGGCTCGTTCTGGAACGTGGTAATTTGCATACGCGTCGCATACGCATGCACTTATCATTCACAGCTGGCGGCGCGGCGCGCGGTGGGGCAAAACACCGCTGCGATCCGCCGCCGCCGCCGCCGCGCGCCGCCGCGCGACGCGACGCGTCTTGTGTCTAGTCCTAGAGTTGCTAGGCGAAATAGTCACGCGGTGCGCGCATACATGCGTGTGCGGACTCGTCATTAGCGCGACTATCATTAGCCGGCAAGGCCGCGTTCAGGGCTGTCGACGGATGCCACGGACCCCTGCACCGTCCGTTTTCTCAGGAGGCTCGGGTTTCGCGGCTGCGTGTGTGACGGACAGCGCAATGTTTCGATTAATCTCGCGATCGTGTTTCTTTCCCTCGTGATGTTACGGATATAGACGGAATTAAGAATACGCCCGTATGGAAAAACAATTGTAATAATTAATACAGCACGTACAAAAGGCCAGAGTAAAAATAGTACATATAAATACACGTGATCTCGAAATATGTGTATAGAGATGTGTAACAGCACAGAACGCTATCGTGGACATATATAGGCAATCGTAATATAAATCTATGTATCTGTAAAATTCACTTTTGACGTTTAGAGATATTTCGTATCGAGTAAACGAGTGTCTCATTGTATGATCTACGCACGCATCATTTGCATTTCTTTTCCTGAAAAAAAAATCATTATTTTTCATATTTTTCAACTTTCTAAATGTCATCAGACGCTTGATTTAACGACTGAGAATTTTGAGAGGAGTTTTGTGAGTGCCGTTCCGAATGCTCGGACACAGAAGTTTCGCTGTTGCGCGGCTCCTCGTCTTTTCTGTCAGTGTCGTCCCTCTTGGGCAGAACCGGAGATGTCGCCTCCATTTCCATCTCGCCGGGATTAGCGCGTGTTCTAGCTCTTGCTCCGCTTCTTTTGCCTCTTCTTCTACTTCTTCTCCTGCCCCGTCTCGTCCTCCTTCGACTGCGAGAGGGACGTCGTCTGCCCCTCCTCACCCTGGTGCGTGATCTGCGACGTCTTCCTCTACGTCTTCGCCTGGTTCTGCTTCCTCTCCTCCTCGTCCTCCTCTTCCTACCCCCCTCTCTCCGCAATCGCTCTCTCCTCTCCCTCGCATATCTCCTTCGCCTCGCCTTCTCCCTTTTCCTTTTTCTTACGCCGAATCGCCACGGTTGCGCTGGACAAGGCTCCGTTACCTCGTCACCCGTGCCATTCCCCAACGAGAGCTGTCTGAGATAGTCGTGATCGTACGAATAGTATCCTCTGGAGAAGAATACCGGTAGAATGTTTTAGTACCACAATAATCACTACCTAGCGTAAATTATGATAAATTACTACAGTCGCCTTCGCATACGACGTCCAAGAACTTTTGTCGTAAAAGATCGTATACATGTATGTATCGCGAGGAATAAGTTTACACGCGGCGGATTTCTCTTCTTAAATAGATATGCTTAGTTACTCGCCACATTTGGAGGTCAGCCTTAAAGTCTTTTTAATGACTAAATTAAGCGCCTTTATCGAACGCATGTTACATTACGTTACCAGCAATCACGCAGGGTGTGACACAACGGTTATTTGATCAAGTGAGAACATTGTGTACGCGACGCGATCAAAATATTTTTTCACGAAGTGGGTCACGTATCGCCCTCGTAATCGTGACTTAATCTATTGCGCTTTATTTTTGACCCAAGCCAAGCTTTATCATTGGCATTGATAAGCGAGTTTTTCGTAGTGCAGAAAATACAACATCGTAAATATGTCCAATGTATTACGCGATATGCCTCACGCCTCTCTCGTAATTTCTTATACGATTCTCAAGAAGTCAAAATATTATCGCTTTAACTTTCAAAATAACTCTTCCGCGCAAGTAAAAAGTTTCATGCTGCTATTGTCTAATATAATATTAACGAAATGTCAATGCAAAATTCATTGCAACCCGTAACGCGTAACGAGCTTTAAATTACATATGAGAAATAAAATTATACTATAATTACTGGAGTTTAATTATATAGACAATTAAATGGGAATTCATGTCAAATTCGTACCCCTTTGAACGTTTAAGAATCCCATAGGATAATCCGCGTCGTAAAGTGAACTGCACCTGCCGTCTGGTCTCCTCGCTAGGCACATTGTACTCCTGGGAAATATAGTTACTAATTTCCCGCGATGTCGAACCTTGCACATCTTGGAGCCTACGTATAGCATTTACAACCAGGGCCTCGACCTTTGGAGTCCGCCTAGCGGGCATGTCTACTAATATTAGCATATATTATTTAATATATTTTGCATAATTGCGTCAATAAGTTTTATTACCGATACTATTACTTATCGAAAACGCATGCGAAACCGGCGAAGAAAAGTGTTATTATTTACATGAATATTAATTTGTGCTGAAAGAATTTTTATAAAAGGAGTTTAAGGGTCTTCCTTAGATGTAAGGATATCTACCTATGCGTTGCGTAGAATGTGGCAGGAATGTATTTAATTATACTTCCTTTCTGAGGATACGTAATGCAATCCATCAGATATAAACGATAAAATGTGTATTTAACGAGTCAAAATTATTTTAAATTCCCCGCATTTTTTAAACTGGATATTTTAATTCGACACGTGAAATTTTTATTGATTTCAACAAACACGGTATCCAAGGGGATGTGATCGTCAATTTCACGACGCTAAGATCACAGTGTCGTTTTTTTTTCGATTATTTTTAAATCGAAAATACCGAAATCGCTATAGTATACATAAAAACGCAATAAATGAATGAATCATTACTATATTATACGTTATAATGCTAATTGAGATTTATTTTAAATACAATTATATTAAATAATAGATTAAATATGATGATAAAAATCTGTTTTCTCTGGAACTTTAGGGGTCTATAATAATCTCTCAATATTCGAGAATCAAAATAGCGTCCAAAATACACTAACTGCGGAAAATATTCTGAAATGTTATTATAGACATTCACAACAAAAATATCCTCGCCTTCAGAAAAGAAATCGCAAATTTTGAATTATTTCGCATTCGCCATGCGCTCTTTATACCGGTTTCCCTTGAACTTCGTTCTTGCCTATCTGACGCAGACTCGTAATCGGACTTACAATCAAAGTACGACGATGAGACTCCTCGCCGAGGCGAATAAATTATGATCGAAACGGATATCTGCTTAATGGCTAAAATGTTTCGAGTTCGTTAGCGGTCGGCGCACTTAAATCAATATTTACATTGCCTGGTAACAGCGAGAAAAACCGTTGAAATAAATTGTATATTTTGCATTTAAACGATAGCAAATAAATTTCTCCTATAAGTTAAATTATTTTTATGTGATTCTAAATAATATTATATTGTTTGACTGTTATTTTGGACGCTAATTTGAGTCTCGAATATTGAGATATTATTATAGACCCCTAAAGTTCCAGAGAAAATAGATTTTTTATCATCATATTTAATCTATTATTTAATATAATTGTGTTTAAAATGAATCTCAATTAGCAACACGAAGCCACAGGAAGTAAAATATATTATAGACGAAAATGTCTATTTGTAGCGAGCATTCTCGTTCCTTCATTCTCTTCTTCCCTCGCTCTTTTTCTACCGCATCTTGAACAGAAATAAAACAGCGCAAAATGGCACCAGAGTAGCATGTCAGACGTTTGTGCCGTGACAGCTCGGAATTCTTTTCTTATACCTTTGTAAATATAGTTCTCTTCCGGCTATTTGAATCTCCTGATCGAGACGGTATCAGACTACTGGCATTATTATCTTTCAATATAAAGCATATCAAAGTTGGATACCGATATTTTCGCGTGAAATATAATTGACGTGATAAACACCTGTCGTATTTTAGAAATACATTATTTTGTAAATTTAAATGACATCAAAATCTGTTCATATATGTATAAAGATATATAGTATATAGGCATTTTGTACAATTGGGAGCGCACATGTTTAAATTACCAGTAGATTTTCTTATTACACGATATAGTATGATAACGAAAGGTAGGTACGCCTGTCTTATCACGGAAATCGACGCGACTTATCATCTTATCGATGGTGTTGCAGTTACGAGAACTGGCAGATATAATATGCTTTATTAGACTTATTTATATTGCAAATACGATCAAAATTTCTTAAGAATGAACGACTGATTTTTAAAGTATTTGCAATACAATTATCAATTGTGAATGATTTATCATTACGCATCATTTGATAAAAAAAAGAATTTGCATCGTTTCAAGCGCATGTTTATTGATGTTGTTGTTTGTGTTATTTATATAGGGTGTCTCAAAATTACCACGTTTTTTTTAAATTTTTTTTGTAGATTTGTTTATAGAATTTAAAAATGATTTTTTTTCCTTAACAAAAATTTTGTAAATGATATACTTTTTAATCATTTTTTTTTTCAACGTAACTTGGCATTTAAAAACCTCACATTAACACAATCTTGAAACAGTTTTTTAATAGAAAAAATATATGCCATGTAATTCTAAAAGACATTTCTTTATATATTTTTTTGAATTGTTATTAGTAATTCGAAATTTTCATTAAATGGAAATTTAGTATAAATTGTTCCGAGAACCTCTATGTGTGAAAAAAAGCGTGGAAAAATCGTGAAATTATTTTCAACTCCCCACACTTTTTAAACTTTTTTAAATTAAAAACAAAATAATTTAGATATAAATTCTAATTCGGCACGTGAAATTTTTATTGACATCAACAACATGGGAAATATCCAAGGGAAATGATCGTCATTCTCGTGACGCTGAGATCATCGTTCGTCGTTGTTTTTTTCTTGATTTTTCTAACTCGAAAATAATGAATACGTATAGAATCCTATAAATGTACATTTTTTTTCAATAATCTCGTGAGCTGATATATAAAAATTAAATTCTATTCGGATCGAAATATGAAAGATATCCTTCGGTAAATCACGTTAGAGCAAGTTCCTGTAGAGCGCAGCACGGATCACGTATAGACTCTGCTGGCATCTGGTACCGCTTCAAGGGAATTGGTTTCGCCAAAAGTCCGTCATTGATACCATGTTCGCAACGATAACGCAGAAACCGTCAATGCCTAAGCCTGATAGCTTCCCTCTGCACAACTCCTTTTTTTCCCCCAATATAATAATATTCGTCCCAATAATAATATTCAAATGCCTGACAATAATAGTTGAATAAAAATTCACACGTTTCGAGACTGTGAGAAGTAACTAACAAATGCATACGACAAAAAGGTCGTGACAATGGTCTTCTTCAGCGTATGTCGAGGTGCATAAGAAGAAAAATGACAGGAAATTATCTATAAATTGCCAGAGATATATATGCGGTCTCCAAGCATTCACCTGCGCGTGCAAGGGCACCGGACATACGGATCGCACACACAAGCGTCGCAGACCGTCGGTGTGCTGCGCGTTTGTCACACGCGACGCACACACACATGCGCATTCCCGTGCAAATGATGATTACTGCCGGTGTATCAATGTTATGTGCTCAATAGCGATGGAAACTAGCTCCAGCAAAAGTTTTATCGCATTCTGCGCTGCTTACAGTTACGCTCCTCTAATATAATTTATTTAAACGTATTTTAAGCGGTAAAAGTTTGTGTAATGTATATACGTACGTATATAAAATTGATAAATACAATGATTAGAAAATAAACTCTATGTCAAGTGCGCTCCAAAGATAGTAATCATCATACGCTCGTACGCTCCAAAGATAGCAATCATCACATGCCGTGCTGTTCGCGCAAGATACATGGGTTTTCCAAATTGACAGAGAATTAATTTTTTATATCAAGGTAGGAAATATTTTTACTATTTGACGAGACGCACGTGTTCATAAGTGTACGTACGCCGTTAACGTGTGCCCATTGTTAGCATTTTCGACCTTGCAGCACGCGAGAATGTGCACGGGGGAACAATCGGGACGGTCAAGGAGAACTTACAGAATAATCAGCTACGCGAGGGAAAATGATTGCGCTGCCTATGAATGAAAAGGAGGAAGCCATGAATTTCTGATTATCGTGTACTTTGTAAACACCGTTTCGGAGCGGAGTTCACGAATAACGAATGTGTCGTCCGTGGACAGGCAAAAATCTTTACCATAATCGTACCCGTCACTTCCTCACGAATTTTTGTGATGAAATCATAACGACCGTGGAACAGAATCTCCACAAAAAAGATTACATATGTCCTTAGAACAATCATACATAACAATAAGCGAAATGACTTTTTAATCACTAAATGACGTGTTTCAATGTCACGCAAATTTTTCTTACAGAAATCTAATTTAATACTAGCCAATTTAATACTTAAGAAATTACTTATTTAGAATATTAAAAAGGTAACAACAGTGCAACTAATTAATCACTACTTTCCATTAAATTTCTGTGAGGGTTTGTGAAAATAAATGGACACAGAAAGAAAGTCGCAGAGGTGATATTAATAAATAAACGCGGATAAAAGTATTATTTGCAAATATCGCGACAGATAAATTGCGCGCCGGATACTTTCTCCCTTTTGAGAAATTCAGAAAATTCTTGGGTTGGATGCCCTCCGCGAGCTTATTAATATCAGCAAGACGGACGTGCGCTCGCGCGCGCGCGCGAGGATTCAGAGCGTAATCATCGAGCGTGCCTCTTACGAGGTTATTATTGCTGGTAAGGATGAATCCATAATATCGAGGCGAGTCGGCTCGACGCGGCCGAGCGAAAGTGCCTCGGCCACATAAATGTCGGGCCGACTCGACCGAGGGGGAGGAAGGGGGGGAGGGGGCGAGAAGGTGGCTTAACGAATGTGGAGAGATCGGTGAACCGGAAGCGAAAGGCGCGCGCGCAGCTTCACGATTCGTTTGGTACGACGTATACATAAGATCGTCAGTCTCCCAGCCTTTAACGCTTCGCGGAACTAGAAATCTGTTTTTCACGCTCGAATCGCGCGAGCTTTGTTCACGCGTCTCTATATATCGTCGTGCGTGCGAACGAGAATTTTCTTCTCTTTTAATCGCTAGACGGAGATTAATCGTGAGGTGTGGACCGGATAGATACGATACGAGTAGACGAGCTGCGAAAATTCATTCGGCAAGCGTAAGACGTAACGCGAATCAACGAACGGAAAATTCTAATCTTGATCATTATCGTTAAATTAATTTCGATAATTATTTCTCACATAATTTTTTGTTTAATTGCAATGATTACTATAATACTTCTTTTTTTTTCTGTGAGATTATTCGACGAACTGAATTGGATCGATCTAATTGTCTTGGTGCTAACATTTTTATCGCGTTTGCATTCATCGTGAGAAATAGCTGTTTCCACGTGTCGATTAAAAAGGTAATTACCACGTTACGCTTGCGATGCAACGCGACCTTCGGTACTGTCGAGCCGGACACGGATGTTTCTAGGCGCGTCCGCACCGAGATTACCGCTCGGACGCGCACTTTTGCGCTCGTGGTTTTGCGACGAGATCCTCTCCCTGGGGCGGATCTTTGTTTTTGTTTTGTTTTACAAGCACGGGGACAATTCTGGCGTTTGAAAATTGGAAACGCGATATAAATGGAACGTGACCTCCAATAACTCTCGAGTTATCCCGGGATGCGGCACGGAGGATCAGCATCGGAAACGGGAGCCCACGTGCGCTCTTATTAGATGCAGCGCGATTCACGTGGCGCAA